GTCCCTGCCTGCGGTGGGTGGGTGTCCCACAGCAGTGCCAGTGCCCCCAACACACCTTTACACCCTCCTTTGTGTGACACCAGGGTGACAGATGCCGTCTTTAACTTCCTCCTGGTGTGGTACTACTGCACCCTCACCATCCGAGAGAGCATCCTGATCAACAACGGATCCAAGTGAGTCCCTGGGCTCGGGGAGGGGGTGCAGCGAGTTGGTCCTTCTCTGCAAAGCTGAGAAGTTGGGGCCCATCGAGCAGCTCTGAGCTTCCCAAGGGAGCAGCTCCCTCCTACTCAGGGTGTGTAGCAAGCCCTGGTACAGCTGTAGGAGCGGGGCAGGAGGAACTCCCCGTGCGGAGGTGGTGCGGGAAGGTGGAACGGCGGCTGGAAGGGCCCCAGCTCCCGGTGCTGCCCAGACCGGAGGCGCCGGGTCCTGCTCCGAGCACGGATGTTTCACAACCAGCCCCACTCCTCATCTTGCTCTGGGAGCTGTCAGGTGGCTGCTCTGCTTTGCTGGTGCACCTCTGGGTTGGGATTCACACTCAGGACCTGACACCCCTTCTCTCTGTCTGCCTTCCAGAATCAAAGGCTGGTGGGTTTTTCATCACTACGTCTCCACCTTCCTCTCAGGTGTCATGCTGACATGGTAAATGTGTGTTCCCCATCCCACAGGGGGCTGTGGGTGGCTCTGGCACAGGGGCCTTTGCTGCCCTGACCTGCAGCCACAGGGGCTGTGGGGCAGGCAGGGCTGGCCATCCCCTCCCAGCCCCATGTCCCCCAGCCAGCATCGTTTCTCCACAGGCCAGATGGGCTCATGTACCAGATGTTCAGGAACCAGTTTCTCTCCTTCTCCATGTACCAGAGTAAGTGCTGTGCTGGGACAGGGACTGTGGTTGGCCTGGGGTGCTGAGCGTGCCTGTGGGGCTCTGCAGCACGTGCAGACCTGGCTGCAGCTGCTCACAGCTCTCGGCTTATCTGCGTTTTCCCTTGGACTCTGTCCTGCCCTCACCTCCCTGGCACTGGGGTGATCTTTGTGGGCAAGGTCATCACGGAGCTGGGGCCAAGATTTAATCCCTGGGCCCCTGTTGATGGCAGCCACACTCTCCTTGCAGGCTTTGTGCAGTTCCTGCAGTATTACTACCAGAGTGGGTGCCTGTACCGCCTGCGAGCGCTGGGTGAGAGGCACAACATGGACCTGACTGTGGGTAAGTCGGGATCTCCCCTTACTGATTGTCCCAGTCCAGCTGGACCCACCATTGCTGCAGGGCCTGTGGCTGGCCAAGCCTCCCTCCCATCTCCAGCCCAGCCTCAGCTAACTGGGAGCTGTGGGTTCTGTTAAAGGTAACGGTGGCAGTTTGGTCCGAGGTCAGTTTGGCTGCGGTTTGTCAGTGGCAGAAACAGTAAAAGCTACAAGTAAAGCCAAAACTCTGAGAGCAGCATCTCCCATAGGGCAGCAGCACCCCACAGGCTGGGTGCCTCCCTCCTCCTGCTCTCCTGGGACCACCAGCCCACAGCTGGCTCCCTCGGGATGCGAGGTGGCAGTGGATGTAGCTCCTGGCATCCAAACTTTCCCCGGGAAGCTCTTTCAGACATGAAATATCCCTCCAACACCCCGGGTACTGTGTGTGGGCTGTCACCTCCCAGGCCCTTGTGACACCAAGGGCTGGGCTGAGGGGCTCCAGCATGGGCGAGGGCAGCTCCACTGGAGCAGCTTCCTCTGCTGTCTTAGGAGTCCCTGTCACCATCCCCCCTGTGAGTACAGGTGCCCACAGTGAGGTTGGCATGGCAGGCCCTTCTCAGCCAGGCATGGAGTGGGCACTGAGTCTCGCTGCCCGTGTCCAGAGGCACTGGGCTCCATCTGCTCCCTGCCAGCCTGTTCCAGGTCCTCACACAAACCTTCATCCTTTGCAGAGGGTTTCCAGTCCTGGATGTGGAGAGGCCTCACGTTTCTGCTTCCCTTCCTCTTCTTTGGGCACGTGAGTCTGCACTGATCCCTGCAAGAGGCCACAGCCTCAGGTGGGAGCAGGTCATGCTGCAGTCCCAGCTGTGGGGTCAGCAGCCTGGACATCCCACAGTCCCCACAGGCTGCTGCAGCCATGTGATATGGGATGCCAGGGGTAGGGAAATGCTTCCAACAAACGCTGAGCCTTTTCCTCCAAAGCACCCACCGCCTCCACAACTGGAGCAATGAGATGGGGAGGACCTGGGGCAGTTCTGTGGTTAGAAGCCTTCCAAATCTTTTCCAAAGCCCTTCCTTGGTCATAGGCTGATGGGCAAAGGCTGCTCTGAGGCTTTCTCGCAGCCCTTGAGCTCCAGGTGGCACAAAAGGGGAGGGGATGTCCCAGCTGGGGTCCTCTGGGGATGAACCCTCTGACCCTGAGCCTGGATGGGGTTTCACTGCCCTCACATGAGGTCAGTGTGGGGTTTGTGCCCAGAGGGAGCAGCTGGGTGAGTGTCAGCATGGGATGGAACCTCTGAGAGCAGAGCTCTCCCTCAATCTCCTCTCTCCTGCAGTTCTGGCAGCTCTACAATGCCATCACCCTCTTCCGCATGCTCCAGCACCCGGAATGCAAGGAGTGGCAGGTAAGGGGGCTCCCAGGGGGCTGCCCTGGGAAGGGGGATGCCCCAGGCAGGTCCCTCCTGCTGACTTGTGCCTCTGTGCCTCCCACAGGTCCTCATGTGTGGCCTCCCCTTCTTCATCCTCTTCCTGGGGAACTTCTTCACCACCCTCCGCGTTGTCCACCAGAAGTTTCAGAACAAGAACAAAGACACAAAGGAGAATTGAAGGGGGGCAGTGTGGGGGCCAGGACTGTTTCTCCCCACTGCCTCCATCCCCCATCCACATCTCCTCGATTCCGTCCGGACTCTGGTGTCTCATCCCATTCCTTGGAAGCCTGGGTGTGGGACAGAGCTTGGGCCCTGCTCCTGGACAGTCCGGGTGTTCACTGCGGTGCTGGATCCATGCCCAAGCCACTCACCCGGAGTCAGAAGCACCCTGTGACAGCCACTCCCATTTGCTGGGATGTTCTCTGGATGCTGGTGCTCCCCATCCCACTGGGACAAGGCTGGCAGCTGCCTCACACAGCTCCTGGCGTGGTCGAGGCTCCCCCTTTCCCCCCCAGCCCTGCAGCCCCTGTGTGTTGAAGGCAGAGGCCCTGGGGCAGCCTCATCACTGCAAGGGGGCAGCTGGGGGCTGTGCACAAGTCCTGGGTTCCAGGGTGTGCCTATTCCAGTTCCTCCCTCACCTTCAATCCACAGGGAAGAGGGGCCTGAGGCTCAGGAGGGGTGGGGAGCACCGGGAGCCTGGGCCAGGCTTCACACTGGAGCTGCACAAACAGCACCCTGGGCTGGCATCTCTGGAGGGTGCAGATGTAAAAATAAAGGGAAGGCGCTGCCCCGGGTCACCGGGGTGGTCTGGGAACAGTTTCCATGCTCTGTGGTTTTGGCTCTTTGGGAAGGGTGTTCTGACACAACCTCCCTGACAGGAGGCTGGAGGTGGGGGTCTGTCTCTTCTGGGTAACATGCAATAGGACAAGGGGAAACAGCCTCAAGTTGTGCCAGGGGAGGTTTAGACTGGACATTAGGGGAAAATGTCTTCACCCCAAGGGTTGTCCAGCCCTGGCACAGGCTGTGCAGGGCAGTGGAATCACCATCCCTGGAGGATTTTAAAGCCATGTAGATGTGACACCTGGGGACATGGGTTAGCAGTGGGCTTGGCAGTGCTGGGTTAAGGGTTGGTCTCAACAATCTTAGAGGGCTTTTCCAACCTAAATGATTCCATGATTCTGTGAAAACCCATCTCCCTGTGCCCCTACCACCACTCCCCATGGGGCCAGGTGGTCAGTGCTGTGAGTTCCCTTCCATGGCATGCCTGGCCTGCCCAGCTCTGTGCAAGGGCTGTGGCCAGAGCTTTGGCCATCCAAGGAGCCCAGCAGGACCTCAGTGTCCCTGCAGCTCAGGGAAGAGACACCCTGTACCACCACCAGGAGTTCCAGAAGAACCAAAGAGCAGGTTTGGCACAGCAGCACCCCACTCCAGAGCTGCCATCCTCCCCCCAACCAGGTCCCAGCACTCAGGGTAGGGGCTGCCCCCAGCTCAGCCTAAACCCAGAGCTGCCACCCAGTCCCCAGGTTTCCTCCCAGTTAGCATCCAATACTCCTGCCTCCCTCTGCCCTCTGGCTGAGCAGAGAGAGGGTAGGAAGCAAACTACAGATACAGCATTTTTATTCCAAGGGCAACTGTATTTAAATAATTTACAATCATTGGACAGCCTGAAAGGTTGTTTTTTTCTTTTCTTCCCCCCCCCATGCTTAAATCACAAAGATGTTAAAATAAAAACAGTATTTAAAAAATGACCATACACAGTGTGAGGGAGGGGCTGGGCTCAGGGGAGCTGCCGGACCCCAGGGAGCAAGCAGGGCCCTATGGACTGAGACCCCTCCTCCCACAGCTGGGTCTATTCCCCAGGGGAGAGGAGCCACCCCCTTCCCGCTGCGTGCTGGAGCAAAGGCAGGCATCAGGAAAGGAGCAGGGGGGTGGTGAGGTCTGGGGGGCACAGGGCACCTCTGTGCCCAGAGCCAGCTGCCAGCCCCTCATCCTAGAGCTGGACAAACAGGGCATGAGGGAGGTGAGGACAGATGGCTGCCCAGGCCGGGCCCTCACACCCGGGGGGATCGCAGGGGGCTGCCGGCCTGGCCCCTCCACCCCTCTGCCGTGCCAGCAGGCCAGGGTGGGCTCCAGCCCCGGGGATAAGGCAACACCTCATGTTCAGAGAAGGACCCCAGAGCTTTCTAGCAGCGTCCATCCCTTGTGCCCCACATCAGCTGTGTCCCTGACCTCAAGGCAAATGCTGGTGCCGCGAGGTGCGCCTTGGGGTGCCGGGGTCACCATGGCTCCTGGACAGCAGCTGAGCTACCCCCCTGCCCCTCTCAACCCCTTCCACCCCCCGGGGCACACAGCCTGTCCCGAGGGGCTGCAGTGGCCCAGGAGGGGTTGGGTGATGGGTAGCTGTGGGGCGGGGCTGACACCCTCACCCACAGCAGCCGTGGGCGAGCAGGCACTTTGCACCTCCCGTGGGCCCTCGCCTGGGGACCCATTCTCTCCCCAGCCCCACCAGCCCCGCTTTTAGCTCCAGACATCCAGAGAGTACCGGCCCTTCGTCATCAGTTTCTTTACATAGTCCACGGCCTGGGCCTGGCTCATGTTCCCGAACTCGGACACAATCTCGTAGAAGGTGTTCTGCACGTCCCGGGCCATGTTCCGGGCATCGCTGCAAACAGAGGGATCATGAGTGAGACACCAGAGTCACAGAGCCCTGTCACCTCCCCACACGAACACCCAGGGTTCACCCCAGCCCGCCTGCCTGGCCCTTTGCCCTCCCCTGGAAACCAGACAGTGTAACCCTCCCAGGGTTTGTAATGCACAGCTGGGGAAACTGAGTCACACTAATTTTCCTGAGAACGGGAATGTTTTCCCAAAGTCCCTTCCCTGCCCCCAGACCTACCCACACACGTAGATATGAGCCATCCCCTCATTAACCAGCTTCCAGATGTTTTCCTTGTTCTTTTTCAATAAGTGCTGGACATAAACCTGGCAGGAAACAAGGTGGGAATGAGGTGAGAGGAGCAGAGCCCCCCAGACCACAGGCTGGGGCGATGAGGGGAAGCCAAGCCCATGCTCAAGGCTCTGGAGACAGTGGAGGTGTGCTGGGTGCTCCTGCCTGCCATGGGCCATCCAGGCTGGAAGTCTCCAGCCCTAAGGCCACAGCTGGGTGTAGCAGCAGGAGCAAGTGGTGGGATGACTAGAGCAGTACCTTCTCAGCCTGGTCCCTGGAGAAGGCCACATTGAGCTGGGTGAGGACTCCCTCCTTCTGGAAGCGGGCCAGCTCCTCCCGGTACAGGTAGTCCTCTCGCTCGCGCCGGCAGCCGTAGTAAAGCACTGTCTCACCCACCTCTTTGCCTGCAGGGTCACACGGCCTCCATCAGCTGGCCCCTGGCAGCCCACAACCCTGTCCCCCTCCCCACCCTCCCCTTGTCCTGCCAATCCCAGCAGTCCCAATCCTGCCCTCTCTGCTCCCCTGGTCCTACCAGGCCGGAGGAGGCAGAGCTGCACAACTACTTCTGGTTATATGGGGAAGCTTGAGACTGATTCCCAGAAGTGGCCACAGGCTTCAGCAATGAGTGTGACTTGACTGCAGTTATTTGGAGATGTGGTGGCAGAGGTCAGAGAACTGCCTCAGGCCTATCCACCCCCCAAACATCCTCCTTGGCCAAGAGGACAAAGCATCCTCATGCTGGGCAACACTTGGCTCCTATTCATCCTCCCCCACCTCCTCTGCTTTTTGCTGGACCCACCAGCAACACGAGCTGCACCTCAGAGGCACCAACTGAAGCCCGCAGAACCCTGTCCTGCAGGAGCTCCAGCCCCAGGCAGGTTGCTGGGCCCTCACCTTGCTGCTTCAGCCAGGCCCGCTCCTGGATGAAGCCGATGAAGGGGGCGACGCCAGTGCCCGGCCCGATCATGATCACGGGGGTGCTGGGCTTGAAGGGCAGCCGGAACTGCGACTTCCGCACGTACATGGGCACCAGGGAGTTGCTCCCGTTCTGGTCAGGCACCTTGTTCTTGAGCCAGTTGGTGGCCACCCCTTTGTTCAGGCGGCCCGTCTTGGTCTCGTACTCCACCGTCACGGCACAGATGTGGATGGAATTGGGATGAACCTGCAGGGAAGGGATGTTGGCACCACGCAGAGAGGGAGCCCCGGCAACCCCACAGCTCAGTCCCCGCAGCTCCCCCTCAGTGCTCAGGAATGAGGAGAATTCTAACCTAATGTTAACACTGGGACAGCTATTCCTCCCTGCGTGCCCCTCCTGGGGCTTCTGTCTTGTGTCTGACACAGGACCACGGAGCTTCCCTGGGTATTTCCAGCCACCTCAGGGCTTCAGGCACAAAGTAATGAGTGAATTTTGACCAGCCCCTAAAATTCCACCTTCTTCCAAGTCCTAACAGCCAGGCTGATGGGTGAAGAGAAGCAGGGCCCCAGGGAGTGCAGGTGGTATTGGGACACAGCTGGCTGCAGTGTGAGACCCTCTGCAGACCCCGTGGGAGCTGGGATAACTCCATGCAAGGAGATAACTAAAGTTGCCTCTCTGATGGAAATTATCACCAGGACAAGCTCCCCCCATCCAGTCCCCAGCCAAGGACCGTGGTGCTGTGGAGCTCCAGCTGAAGCGGTCCCTCCACAACCTCATTCCCTGCTGGAAGCACACTCACCTTGGAGGAGGAGGCGATGGAGTAGTAGCGGGCCTGCAGGCGGGGCAGGAGCTCGCACAGGTGGTCGATGGGGGGGCGCAGCGAGGGCATGTCCTGCAGGATGGCCAGGATGTTCCTGCGGGCCTCCACCACCCAGCTGAGGTACAGGGCCTGCGGGCAAGGAGGGCACACACACGTGACCACTTCCCTTCGTGGCTGGCAAACGCCCCTTGGGCTCTCTGCACGGCCCTTTTGGGGATCCCCCAGCACCCAGTTCAGCCCAGCAGCGTTGCTGGAAGGGCCAGTGCTCCCACCTTGCCCTCGGCAGCGGACGAGGCCATTTTCCGGAGGCGCTCCTGCTCCTCGGTGTCCGTGGCGTACTGGGCCAGCTCGTACAGCACGTTGGTGCGGGGAGGGTTGGTGATGTCCAGGTAGTAGGTCAGGGCTGTTCGGTAGGACGTGGGGCAGGGGAAGGGATGCTTCTTGTTGGATTCCTCTGGAGAAGAGGGAGAGAAAGAAAAACTGAAAATCGGCAACTACCTGCTGTTATGTCAAGGGGATTTCGTGCCGGCAGCTACGCACGGCGTGTGAGGGCTGGAGACAGAGCAAGGCTCCAGGGAGGAGAGAGCAGCCCTAAGGCCGATCAGCCTGTGGGCCAAAGCCCCAGTTCCACACTGAAGCACCTCCCTCTCCAGGCAGCTCCCTCTCCCAGTAGCCCATTCTGTGTTTCACAGATGCTGCCTGACAGTTTAGCAGCAAAAAATATCACCCTGTGGTCCCCAACAGGGCTCTCTGCCCTGAGATGTCCAGCAAACCTGCAGACCAAGCAGGGGGGCTCCCCTCCACAGCTAATTTGGCCTCACACACTTACACCTCTATCAGACCTGGCCTCAAAAGTGTCCTTACGCTCATTTAGACACAGAGAGCTGTGCTCAGACTCATCTTGGGAAAGGTCAGCACCAGCAGTCAAGGCTGGAGCCATTCAGCAAATTGAGAGGTCCATAAGGACAGGAATGACAGTGTGAGGCTGGACAACTTGCAACACTGCACAGGGGGCTACAGGCTCCAGCAGTGCATTAGAGCCACTTTCTCTCTTGAAACCAGGAGCTCCCTCAGGCTTCTGGGCCAGCACGTCTGATGCTTCAGGTCTGGCTGTGCTGCTCCAGGAGTGCAATGGGCAGCAGCTGGCATCTCCTTCCTGCCAGAGGCTGGCTCTGCTGGGAACGCTGCCCAGGAAGAGCTCTTTGTACCAGCACAAGTGCTCCCTCCTGGCAGTTCAGTCTCCAAGGCTGTGCCTCCTCTCAGGACTGAATAAGAACATCTCACACACTGAGGGCCCTGTGGAGCTCCGGGGCTGCTGCAGCTGAGGGATGCTCTGGTGGGCTGATGCTCTGTAATTAGGAGTGTGCTGTTACATAATTTGTTGTTGAATGGGCACACTAAACACATTTCACAACTGACCCACTTCAGCTGCTCTCAGCAAACAGGTCTGTGCTACTGCTAGAACAGCACAGCATTCAGAGTGGCTGTGGGACATTTGTCTGCCTGGAGGTGTCCCACGGGACCTGAGGGTGATCTGGATCCTGCTCTGGTGGGAAGGACAAAGGCCACAGCTGAAGGAGAACTGCTGACCCTCAGAGGTCCATCTGTACTCACCATCCAGGTTGTTTAGGGACATGACAGTGTCCAGGTCCGTGCCCAGGATCTCACCGATCTGGTTCACCAGAGAGGAGTCGTTGGCAGGGTACACGGCCACGTGGTCCCCGGACTCGTACCTGGCACGAGACACAGGAGAACAGATGCAACACCTGCACCACTTCTTGCCCACCCCCAGAAGACAAGTGGGTTGGTGCAAGAGGCAGCTGGACGACACAGATCCAAGCTGCTGCACCACCAGGGATCCCCAGAGCCCACAGCAACAGCGGGAAGGACCATGGTGGGATAACGCTTTTAAGAACCAGGGTTTTTATGAGAGACCTCCAAGTCAGAGACTTCAACAAGGCCAGAGTTCCAGCAAGGACAGGCCAACTCCCAGTTGCTCAAAACCTCTGCAGTACTTTGTTACATTAAGCCACCTGGATTTGTGACTTTCTAACAATTTAAGCCAGATAGAAGATTTTTAGGAGCAGGGCTTTATTCCCCCTATGCTTGAACACCTAAGCCAGGCAAGCCAAGGCATGAGCCATCCCCACCTCTCTCTCACAGCTCATCTGCCCTCTCATTTTTTTAATGATTCCTAGAGAATTCTTTCAACTGGGACTGCTCAGCTAGGAAAGGTCTGTGGGGTGGGAGGGACCCAAAGCAGGCAGTGCAAGAGCTGGGAGAAAGTCCTGATGTGGGGTACCCGGTACAGAAGCCCAGAGGGGCAGTGTTGAGTAATCACTGAAGTACTGGATGAAGCTGGTGCCACATCCTTGTTCTTTGCTCCTGCTGCAGACTGCTCCTGACAAAATAAAGGAGCAGTCTCCCACAGAAAACTACCTGATTTTGGAATTGGAGATATCCAGCTCCAGGTGCATCAGGTGCCGCTCTCCACCCTCGTTCAGTTTGCGGTTCTCTGTAACCTTGGCCAGGAAGGGGTTCTTGGCATCAAACGGTCTGGAAGGAAAGACAAGGCTTGGTTCATGCTTCAAAGCACACTACACCACAGCACAAACCAAACTATGATCCTGATGCTACCCACACTGGCACAGAAAGCACATCCTTTTCCTTCTAAGCACAGCCCAGCAGTCAACAGCTTCTGTCCCATTAGGAACAAGTGACACACAAGTGGACTGGAGGAACTGTCACATCTCAAAGAAATATTTCAGGCTGGAATTAGTTCATACAGCTCATCTCCCACAGCAATACTGCCAGCAGCCATCATGTATTGGCCACCCCAGGCGAGGAAAGGCTCAAGACAGATGCTGTGGATGTACCAGCCAAGCAGCACACGGGGCCACAGGCATCTCCTCACCACTAATGATCCATTAACTGGGGACTCTCAGAGTCCCAGTGGAGATCTGAGCCCATTCCTCTTGGGCAGAGACAGGCTGCATTGCAGAAATGACACTGCCCACACAGCAGGTGTTGTTAGAGACATCAAGGACCCATCAGCCAACCCCTACCCCACATACACCCTGCCCAGGGGGTTGGCACTTACGGCTTCTGGTTCTCGTAGCTCTTGAGTCGGCCCATCTCTCCCGTGTAGACTTTGTTCATGTTCACATCCGTGTGCACCACCAGCTCATACTGGCGGATGCTGGGCAAGAAAAGAGAAAAAAAGTCAAACTGGAAACCACAAAGTGCAGCTGGAACCAGCATATACTCTGCTTGATTTGCTGCAGCTCAAAAACAAATGCAAATGCCACCCCTTTGCCCCTCTCCGGACGTGAGGGATCAGGAAAGCTGTGCAGAAAACCCAAACCAAGAGGAAACCTCAGCCTCACTGGGAGCATCACAACCAGCACAGCCATCCCCAAAGGTACCAAACCCACCATGTCCCCAGTCAGAACAGAAACTCAGAGCTGGGCTCAAACTTGCACCAGGCTCAGGCCAAGCAGCTCCACTTCCTGCTCTACTTTGCCCATGCCCCCTCCAGTCTGGAAGGGGAGGTAGTGCAGAGGACAGGGAACAGGAGCCTGGGGGTGATGGAATGGCCACCAGTCAGAGGTGACCAGTCTCTCTGGTACCCAAAAGGATCTGCTCCCAAACCCACCTGGACTCTTCTCCTGTAGCCTCCACCCCAAAGTGCTCACAGACTGCCGGCCAGAACTGCTCTCTCCAGGTGATAAAGTCTTCTTCCAGGCTATCCAGGGCAAAAGAAAGAGTCAATAACCCACTCCCAGCTGGGAGAAAAGGGGCACTCTGAGAAGAGCCATCTGAGATCCCCATGGAGTTTCTCCCTCCACCATGGGAAAAGGCATTTGCCTTGGACCCAGACAGTTTTGGTACCTCCATATGCCACAGATCACCAGAAAAGCATTGTCAGAGCACTAAGTTGGAATTGTTGCTATACCAACCACCCCTCCCTTCACCAGGTCTGCCAAGGAAGGCTTTGCTATTCAGGCTCAGTCTTTAACCACCTCAGCTCCCCCCTTGCCCACTCCTGGCATGAAGTCACCTTCCCAAAAGGCAGATTCCAACACGGCAGTGTTCATTTTTCTGGGTTCAGAGCCTCTCACACACCTCACAAACCTCACATCAGACCTTGCAGACTTAGAGGTAAAGCCAGAGGTTGATGTAATGTCCCAGGGTGCTCAGGTGAGCACAGAAAGGCAAAAATAAAATAAAAATCATTGTCTGAGTTGGAAAACTGCTGCCTCCCACCATAAAACACTTCATGAGGAGATGGAGTCTGCCTTCTCCACAGGGATGGGGAAGTTTATCTACACAGGTTGGGTTAGCAATGGATCTACAGCAGGACAAAGGCAGAGGAGGCTGCAAAGCCTGCTCCAGTATGTACCTATGGGCATTTAGAGCTGGTGTGGGATTTCCCAGACACAAGACTCCCTAGGATACTCCCTGTGTACAGGGACCTGATTGTGGGAGAGAGAGCAGACAGACACACACTCAGAGTTACGTCAACTCCCACAAAGAGCCCTGTAGAGTTTATTTCTGTCTTGGTAATAGAGCCAACTCCCTGCCAAAGTATCCAAGGTGCTTTATCCAGCTGTGACCAGCCCCTCCACCCAAGCTACTCACTTGCCATCATCATCTCCCAGCCCAAGCTCAAAGATGCGCTGGGCTCCGAGCTCCTCCAGTCTCTTGTCCACATACTTTCCCATGGCATTGAAGTGCTCATAAGTCTTGTTCCCCAGCCCAAAGACCTAGAAGGGAATGCTCATGAGCATAGAGAAGCAGGAGCTGGACTCTTCCCATCCAGTTGACATCCTCTGGGCAAGTATCACCCAGCAAATGAAGTTGAGAAAAGACAGCAAGACCTCTCCCAGCTCCCCATCCACTCTTCGTGGACCTTGGGTAAGAGCCTACCACTGGTGAGGAGGCACCAGCACCTCCCCTGAGCCCAGCCTCAGGCACGGCAAGAGGATGCACTTACAAGAACTCCTGCACCCTCGAGGGACCAGTAAGAGCCTGGACTGCCTGGAGACCGATTGCTGGCCTTTGCCTCCCACAAACCACGCAGCAAATGTTTGCTCACTGCTTCATACAGAGAAGCTTCACATCTCCAGCAGTGGATTTTATCCTCATTTGCAATTATTATGCTGCCTAAGGAATTTGGCCAGGGTTTGGGTGAGGTGGTTATTCAGCTCAGCACAGGAAGAGAGTTACATACTCCAAGTGATTTAAATTGTGGGAGAAGATCTGGCCCCGGGGTGCTCAATTAGCTTCTGAACAGCAGCAGCCTGTAGCTCATTTGCAGATGCTGTATTCAGTGCCTGCAGGCCTGTTTGGGGCTGTTTGTACCAGCAAACCCTCATGATTTAGGGAATGGAGAGAGAACTACGACATCTGTATTTAGAGCCCTCAGATGTACATTTGCAGGAGTCCACAAAGCCTGCGAAGGAAGACAGTAGGGACCTCAACCAAAACAGGAGTACAGGACACAGACATGCTGTGCCTTTCCCCCAGCCACGTGCAGGCACAGTGGAGGGCTCTTGGCTTTCCTTCCCAAATTCCCACACAAACCGGAGTTGAGCCACTCACTGCAAACCGCAGACCCGAGAGGTCGGTGTCGGCCTCCTGCAGCCAGTCGTAGAAATCCTGGGCATTGTCCGTGGGATCCCCCTCTCCATAGGTGGCCATGCAGAACACAGCCAAGGACTTGTCAATCTCCGAGAGGCGACTCAGGTCCGACTGCAAGCGAAGGACAGAATGAATCCCTAAGGACCCCACAACGTGGTTATTGGGCAAGCCTGTTCCTACGGTGTAGGTGTGCAGAGCAACACCACTCGATTGCAAAAGGGGTTGGGAAAGGCCAAACCCACCCAAAATTGGCAGGGGAAATAAAGCCAACCACCCCCACTGGACTGCAAGTCAGCATTTCTACTCCACCAGAAAAGCAATGGGATTTTCCATGCAAAGCTTTCAGGGACCGTGAGAATGCAGAACGGCAAGGACCAAGCCCATCTCTGCATCGCTCGGGCTCATCTTTTCTCCCCTAAATGACACTGTTAAAAGGCCAGCTGTCCCTTGGCCAGGGTCCTTGGGTTTTTTTAGGGGACATTAATGGGATGTTACCTATCCTGAGGCTGTTCATGGCTAAATTACCAGGTCATACTCCTCCGGATCCGCTGCCATGCCCCGGAGGCCGTAGCGATGAGCGTCTTTGGAGAGACGGTTGGCAAACTCCTCTGCTGTGCCCGTCTGGGAACCGTAGAAAACCACAATGTTTCGGCCCTGGAGAGAAAAAGAAATCCCTGTTAAATGGTGATTACTCACTTGGCAAATGCATGGATGAAGCACAGACAAAGGAAATGCCTGGGATCAAGAGTCCTGGACTGCAACCTAAAGGCAACCAGGAGTCTGTGCTCGTACAGGACTCCACGCCAGGTCTGACAGAAAACTCAAGGCTAAACCGTTAATGAGAACATGACTCTTGTCACACTCAGAGGGGAGACTCAGGTCAGACTAAAACCCAAAACAAAGAAAAACCCTCAAGATTTATTCTCAACTTCAGGGCTGCAGCGTGACTCCTGAAAACAGGGAACTCCCTGGATGAGAACACAGACTTGCCAAAGCTTTGGGGAAATGCCTGAGCACCAGAGCTCCTGCTCTGCTGCAAGCCAGTTACTTTGAAGTAAAACAGAAAATACATCCAGCCCTTGCTTCTTCCTCTGCTTCCCCTTGTGTCCAGACCAGTGGAGTCAAAAGCCAGTTCTGTGCACAACAATTCCCATTCCACAGCGAGCCAGTTTGGGAACCAACCACGCAGATAAATAACTGCCAGCCAATGACTTTAAAGTCTCTGCCATTTCCCTCTTGACTTTGATCTCATATTACACTTTTTTTTTTCCCCACCAAATTTTCACTTTAATTTTTTTCTCTAAGAACAACATCCAGGCATAGACCCAAAAAGCTATTCCTGGCTGCCCACACAGCCTTCCCCTGGATGCTCTCTGCAGCAGGCATGTGCCTGTATCCAAATCAGCCCCTCCTGCTGACAGTCTCCAGAGAAAACTGGGAAGGACATGAGCTCTCCCTCCTTCCCAGCACCCCTTGTAGCCAGAACAAGCTGCTTACCGTCTTCTTCATCTTCTCAATGAAGCTGCTGTCTCTCACTGGAGCTACTCTGAAAGACAGGAGGAACCTCCTTTCAGATGAAACACATTCATTTTTTGAGGTCAGGAATAAGCAAGTGGGGAAGAAGTGGCCTCGAGACCTCAGGAAGGCTGCCCAAAGGCTGCCCACTGACCATCCATGTCCCAGGGATACCCATCACTCAACCACAGGGCTTCTGCAACAACCATGGAGCAGGGACTCGGAGCAGACAGGAAAAGCTGAGCCCCTGCCTTACCTCCACCGGTGAACCCTCCCACAGGGAGAGCCCAGGCACTCAGCCCTGCCTGTCAGGAAGCCTTTATCAACTGCTCTGAGAGGTCTCACAGCTGAGCAGGTTACAAGAATCTCACAAGAGCAGGTCTCCAGATAAATCTCAGGGGACAAGCCATGGTGTGAGAGAAGGGAATAGAGAGCTCCCTGCTTCCCACATCACTGCAGGCAGGCAGGCTCAGTCCTGCACTATGTTCCCCAGGGCACATTCCCCAAGCCTGAAGTCAAACAGGGCTAAAACCCAGCTATTTCAACCTCAAAGCAGCATGCCAGACCCGAGTCCCAGAGCTGGAGAGCTCTGTGGAGCAGACACACGCAGCTGATCAGACCCACAGAGCCACCAGCAAGGCACCCACTGCCAGCCAAGGTCCTGCAGAGCTGGTTCCCTTGCTGGTTTCCATTCCCAAGCAGAGATGGGTCTAGCTGCAGTCAGATTAGGTGCTGGGGGCTTTTCACAGCAGGCAAGGAGGACAGGAGCTCCCTTGCTGTCCTCCCCGCTGGAGCTTTGGTAGCGGGGAAGAACGTGGGACCCGTTCCCATTTCACAATGGAAGAATGCAAGGCTGGGTCTCCTGTGGGAAGAGAGAAGCCTCCAGGCAAAAAACAAATGGTTTTGGCTCCAGCCCATGTGAGAATGTGAAGAGCTCACTAACAGTTTCCTAAACTCTGCAGCCCAGGGGGAGGGATCTTGCAGATGTGCCGTGGCATTTGCAGAGAGCACACACACAGAGCAGCAGGGTGGGGGACCTTCAGTAAAATGTGCCTCCAAGCACCCTCCTTGACCCAAAGGTATCAAGGAGCTCCATAACTGGGCCTGACAGTTCTGAGAACTAACAATCTCATACAGCACACACATCAAAGACAAGCAAAGCCTACCTCAAAAAGCTACCCAAGGCAGCTGTGCTCCCAGGAGAGAGCTGCTTCACACTCCTGCTCTGCTCTCCCAGCAGCTAACACTCTCCCAGAGTTGTCATTTGTCCCCTGTTGGGAACTGAGATATGACAAGCATCTTAAGGGAGCAGTCCCAACCCTGCCCATGCTGTCACCAGGACGGGGGCTCGAGAGAATTCACAAGACTCAGCTCTCACTTAGCTTTTGGCTTCCTGGTGAACCTCTTTGGTTTTCTGTCCTCTGCAAGCGAGATCCAATTAAAACAACTGTTGGGTCAACTGCTAAACAAAATGCTTTTTAAAGAGGAGAAAAAAAAGTTTCAGATCCTTTCAGCAAGCTCCCTTTGGAAGAGAAAAGGGTGCAGCACATGGAGCTCGTCCGTTTTCAAAGGAGGCAACCCCACACTGAAGTGTGTGGTGGAGAACAAGTTGTGGCTCAAACACAGAAGAAATAATGAGCCTGGCTTTGGAAAAAAGGCTACACAACTCTCTGAAATTGCTTCATCAGGGTGGTTTGAAAATCTGAGCTACGAAAACACACAGGCGCCAAAGGCAGAAACAACACACATTTTCACTGCTCAGCCAGGGAAACTTAGAAGAGAAAGTGTGTTCTCAGCAATGACTGCTCTTACAGCTTAGATAGCTCAAAGCAGTGACAATGAGAATCAGAAGTGTTGGGTGGAGGGAAGGGGATTAACCCCATTGTTGGAATGAGCTGTAGCTTGTACAGATCTCCCACCCTTGGTGAGAATCCACAGCACAAACAGCTCCCAGGGCTTTCTGTCATTTTGACTTCAGGAGAAAGAAAGGAGAGGGAGAGAAGTTCCCAACAGCTCAGCAACAATATCAAAGTCTGTCCCAGCTGAACACCTCTCCTTCAGAAAGTTCCCATGCCCATGGTTTTCCTGACAAACACATAGATACATCCAAAAGTGCAGACACAGCCTGGACACTGCAGGGAAACCAAGCACCGACAGCAGGGTCTCCTCTGGAGCAGCCTGCCTCCGAGCAGAGCCTCTCCCCTTCCTCCTCCTCCTGTCCCAGAGGGAAGAGGCATCCCACTCACCCAGCTTTGGGGCGGGAGGAGCGACCCTCCAAGGTGGAACAACCCCGTGGCCCATCGGGCAGACTGACTCACCTGGCCACGGCCGGCTCTTCCCGCGGGGCCGAGTACACGCAGCCCATGCTGGGCAGGGAGAAGGCAGACAAAGAGTCCCAGGGCAGCTGTGTCTGCAAGGGGAGGTGTGGGGGGACGGATCTAACTTAGCTCTGGAGCCACACAGGCCTTCCCATTCTGCTCCTCCTGGGCGCTAAAGCCAAGCGTCAGCCTTTTGTTGAGGAGAAGAGAGCCGGCACAAAAGGTCCCGGCACGGGTCATAGCAGGAGTGGTCCTGTCCCCTCGGATCCTCGTGGTGGGGCTTCGGAAGTTACCAAGTGGATCCACACAGTCCTGAGAAACTGCAACATCTGGCAGCAGTGGCAGAAAGGAATTAGGAGTGGAGAATGAAACCTCCCAGGATCCTCCGCAGCACACGTCCCTCTCCCATCGGCGTGGAGCAGGGGGACGGGACACAAAACCCTCCCCCGGCCCTGTTACCTTGGAAACTGTTTATATCACAGCTGCTTTTATATATATTCTCCTTTTTCAGGGAAAAAAAAAAAAAAAAAAGAGAAAAGCTTGATGCTGTAGCTGAATGAAACGATTCCAGACACTGCGTGAGCAACGCTTCGGGTAACTATGGCAGTGCCATTACGGAGGCAGCTCAAAGGAGTTTGTTCTCTTCAGGATCCTATTAAATTAAATTAGAGATGGTCTCTCTCTCTCTCACACACACAGGCAGCAGAGAGCTAATCAGGTTAAGGAGTTGGAGCAATTCCTGCCACAGGAAGCCCTACAAGTACCAGGGAATGGATTTCTGCATAGCTGCAGAATAGAGATAAGCCAGTTTCTGCCCCAAACAATGTTAAAGAGGGGGGAGAAAGGAGAGGGTGACACCCAGCATACCAATGGCTGTCCTGCCTGTGTCTCCCCAGGATGACTGTCTGTACAACTCTGGAGAGGGCACATGAGAAGGGAAAGAAATCTCTGACTGAGAAACGTGCAGAGGAGGAGCAGCCAGAGAATAAAAATAAATTTGTGCATTCCCCAGCAATGCCCCCACGAGGAAGCGCGGTGGCCACGGCCGCGTGGCGATCCAGAGTTGCTCTCCCTAATGACATCTGCAGAGCAGGCTGCAGGGAAGGCTGCCCCAGTGGTTTTAATTAAGTCTGAAAATAGTCAAAACACGAGCAGTCAGTGGGATCCCAGCCTGTCCCACACATGCATGTGTTACACGTCACAGGTACAGGATGCCTTCCGATGTGCTGGATTCTGTCCCTTCTGCGGAGACTTTGGCCAGGAAAACAGCTCCACTTGGCTGTAAGGATGAAGAATCAGCAGCCTGATCCCTCACTGAGCTGTGGCTGAACCCAGGGATGCATCGTCATGGCAAGATCATGAGTGTTTCCAGGCCACACAGGCTGGTGGAGCCACGCAGGGAGAACCCAGCCCAAAAGAGGGTGTTTCAACAGGGCATCTGTTTTTCCACAATCAAGGGCAGTAACAACAGCGGCATTTCCTTTGCAGACCCTGCTGAGCTGACATGGTTTTATCAAGGTGCTCAGCAGCAGCTCCCAAAAAACATCAGGAGGGCACTGAGGTGCTGGATGCTGTGTTCAGGTCAGAGACCCTACTTGCACTGTTCAACACTGCAAACAAACCATTAAAGCAGCAGCCATTGTGATGTGTCTGAATCCCTGTTCAGCATCTTCATCCTCCGGTATCCTGAGGCTGAAGTTGGGGGAGCCAAAGTGAGACAACTAAATCCATCACTCAGTGCCATCAGATAAAGCAGCTCAGGACAGTTTGGTGAGTCGAGGCAGAGCTGCAGAGAAGAAGCTGAAGAAAAGCAACCCCTCTTAAGGCCAAGGCTCTCCACTTCAGACAGAGACAGCCCTGATGAGGCCTCTCTGCCTTCATGGGTCTGGGACAGCTTCCCTGCCTGCCCACAGGCCTGCCTGACATATCCAGCCAGCCACAGGCAGTGGCTGACAGTGTGACCCTGTGTCTTGTCGATCTGCCTGATCACCAGAAAGGAAACTCCACCCCAGACTCAAGGATTACAAGAGGGAAGGAAACCCAAGGCTGAACAAGCTTGTTTTTCCCACTCATTTTCCTCCCAGTTCCAAGCATCCCATAAAATTACACTGCAAGACCTGCAGGAAGTCTCTGTCTCTGTCCCAAAAGGCGGATGTGCCACGAGCCACAGCCTCAGCTTATGGGGCCACACTGCCCTCTGACCAGTTTGCTGCAAGGACCACAGCAGGGCTGCAGCAGGGTCAGGCTTAATGTAGAGGGAGAAACTGCTTCACAGCCTCCTCTCACTCTGCACCTGCCTGGTTGCCACTTTTCCAAAATGCAGTAGTGTCAGATGACTTCCAGAACAGCCTCACCTCTTCCCTAGTTATCCACAATGGGACGTGCTGCTGTTCCACATCTCCCACAGGGAGCTCCCTTCCAGCCATGGCTCACAGGGACAGAGCAGGCAGCACGGACCCCATGGAGCAAACCCAGGCAAAGTGCCCACGAGCAGCTCAGAGCCAAAACCCCCATCCATTCCCAGATGGAAGCCCATGTGCTGAGGCCCTGCAGCGGCACAAGGTGGTAACATGTACCAGGGGCAGTCAAAAAGCTGCTCTGCAAGGTCACAACAGCCTCTGGAAGAGCTGCATGTGGTGAGTGCGGGGTGGAATCAGTCACACAGGCCCAGCCTGTGCCATGCCAGCATCTAATTTCAGATGGGTAGTGCCCTTTCCCCAGCCAGATTAGCTCTCATGGCAACAGCGTTCTCCTCACAATCTCCAGAGAGGGCCACGTGCACTGACACACACAGCCCTCTCTGCTGCAGGAGTGAGAGGTAAAGTATCCCACCAATCCAAAGAAACACATTCCCAAGGTAAGCTAAGCAGGCACAGACAGCTGTGCTGCTGCCAACCTCGTGTGCACCCATGTGCACAAGGTTCCACAGCCAGGGTCACTGCTGCCCTTTAAAACCCTCCCAGCCAGAAAAATGTACTTTCCATCCTCCTGCAACACCAGAAACAGAAGGACTGAGGTAAAAAGCCCAGCAGAAAACTGATGTTACTGTGAGGTAAGGAACTAAATGCACCCTGGTCTCCACCAGCATGGCTCAATCCTGGCCCTAAGCCCTTTGCAGAAGACAGGGTAGAACAAGGATTTCCCTCTCCAAATCCAGTCTCCTGATGCTGCAGTACCCTGGCATCAAAGCCAAGCAAGTTTCACAAGAGCTGCCAAGCAGTTCATCCCAGGAACTATCTCCCAAGACTATTTCTTTTCTTCATAGCCAAGGGTAGATAAGATTTCTGATAGGAAACCTACTTAAAAGCAAGTCCACATTTCTCCAGATTTATCTAAATGTGACTTTTATCAGAAAAAAAACCGAGAATAGCCAAAGCAATCCTTAAGAGTTCTGAAGTACAGCCAGAGGGTTTCCTGCCTTGCCTTTTCCTGCCTTGCTTGGGAAAGGCCAATTCCCGATTTGGGCCACGCGGTGGGGTAAGGCAGAACTGCAGCCTGGCTCCTCCCCCGGGATTTCTGCGTTGGGAGGGGAACACGCAGCTCAGAGGAAACATGAGGGAAGAGAAATATCTTTTGGGACTAGGTTCCCTCACCAGAGGCCTCCTACAATCCAGCTGAGCCTTCCAGGACTCATCATAAGCACGACAGAAAGCTCCACTCCCAGCGCGCTGCCTGAGAGTTGTTACTTACACTGTTTGCATTTTGGGCAGGTCGGGGAGTTCCTCCTTTTTCTTGCGGAAGAAGAACCAGTAAGTGAAGAGTCCGGTGATGAGGGAGATGAGGAACACGTCTGTCATGCTGAAGAGAGAGTCCTGCTGTGCAGTGCTGTCGGGAGGGGAGAGGTTTGGGTCCATCCTGGCTTCCCCCATGATGGTCAGAGGCACTGTAAGCAAGGAAACACAAATGAGCACCAGCGGCCACACAGTGCCATGGAAGAGCAACAGGGGTCCTTCAGAAAGTGGTTTTTGCTACACATTTAGTCCTGGGAGCACAAGGCTGCCCAACAACATCTTTGGAGAGAGGCCTTGCATCACAAGACTGCAGGATCCTTTTGTGTCCCACGGTGTCACACCAAGCTTTTCCCTTCCTGTTGCATCTGTGCTGATCCATCTGAAGTGATTTCTGCTCTCCCTCTACCAGCAACATCACAGCAGTCCCACAGGCCAGCCAGGGAGCTCAGCCTGACTCCTACTAAAGCCACAGCAAAACTCAACAGGGACTTATGGCCACCCTTTATTGAAGCCCTTACTCACCACAGAGCCCCTGGAGTGCTACTGGGAGAAGATCCCACTCTTCCAGCCACCCCACAGATTTAGGGCTTCCTCCCTCCTTCCCACAAGGTGACAGGATGCCCTGGACCCACTGTTGTGCTTATAAACCACAGAGCAGGACTGTGGCATGAAACGTCTGTGAGCATCCCCGCCAACATTACAATACAAAGGATGAACACTTCTGATTTAATATCCACCTCCATTGCAGGTGGATTTACTATCCACCTCTTTTTGGGGCTCTGGCTTTCCAGTCCCATCCACTATCTCCCCTGGTTTAACTTCCATCTCCTTGAACTATTGCTTTCCACTCACCAAGGCAGAGTTTAAGCAACTTGTGAGCTGCCCAAGGCCATACTCAGGGTCTGTGGTAGCACAAGGATGAGCACCCAGCCCTCAAATCCCAAACCTACGGCCCTATGGCCCCATCCTTCCCCTGAGGATCCACCCATCACTCCCTCTCTCTCTCCCTCTGCTGTGCCAAAGCTCTGAACTCCTCTGACCCCAGTCCAGATCACAATATTATCTCACCAGAGGCAAGGACACACTCTGTCCAAGTAAACAGATAATTAACTCAAAACTTGATTTGTAAGGGCAAAGTGTCTCTCTTCTTGTACTTGGGCACCCTGCCAACCCAGGGGACCATGGACATTTGAACTTCCACACAAAAAAGTGACTCAGAGCTGTGGTGGTGCCACAGGAAAAAAAAGGACGTGTGCCATGGCTGGGCAGTGAAGGAAGAGCTAAGCCATGACTGCCAGAGGAAAGTTCCCAGGCAGCTTTTCTGGGGGGGCTGAAAACAGCAGAAAACTCCAAGCCTGTGCCTGGGCTGAGAAATAAAAGTGACCAAAGTTTAAGGTTATGCTAATGCATAACTTAGCATAAGTTAGCTGGGATGAAAAGGGAAGGTGATGCTTAGGGAGATCTAACAAGGGAGACCAGGTACAGCAGAGAACAACCTCTTGTTGTTACCCTTAAAAGGAAACTCCACCTCCAGAGAACACGAAGCCTTGTGCCAGAGGACACCAGCTATAAAAGGTGCCCTATGGAGCACAGGGAGAAGTCCATAGCAACCTGGCAGTGAGCAGAGACAGGTACTCTGGCAACCCAGGTAGTGCTCAACCCCCAAAGAAGTTTAATTTGGTGGAGAACTTGGAAAGTAACTATATTACAAAGGGCACTAAAACACCACTGGCAAAGCTTCCCATTAAATTCTCAGAGATGACACCAAGGCAGGGAGTTGGAAGAAAAATGTGTGATGTGACTACGGACAAGCAAATTGCACATTCCTCTCCATCAGGCAGGTCACCCTGTCCTCCCTCCTTGCAGACAGGCTTTCCATCACTGGATCTCGGAGCCAAGCAAGAGCTGGGTGTTATTTCTGTACAGCTCTAGACAAAACTATTAGCCAAAGCCCCCACAACTGGAGCTTAGTTGCCAAAAAGGCACAGCTCACAGCAGCATCCCTCTCCTTATCTGGTTCCAGTAAACCACCAAGGAGCTGGTCTGGCAACCAACACCAGGGGAACGCGCTGGTGGGGGGAAAAATATTGCTGGTTTATTGCCTTCACTCCTGATGAAACCCCCGAACTTTTATTTATAAGCTCTTCTCCTCTTCCTCACTGCCACTCCACCTCACCTGTAGGAGGATCTCAGCCAAAATCTGCCAGGAAACCCACCCTCTCCTTGTTATCTCACTCATCACTTGAATTTTCATTATGTCTCCGGGCAAAGAAGAGTTGCTGGTTTCCAGGGAGCCTCAGCTGCTGCCCATGCACAGCACAGACCCCTTCTCTTCTTCAGAGATGGAGGAAGCAGTGCCAGACACAGGCAGGAGGCTGCCTGGATAAACATCTCCAATGCTGTGAGGTGGGTTGGTTTTTTTATCAGTGCCAGTTTCCACTGCCCAAATTCCACGAGGGCAGCCAGTTCCTCTCACACAGGGATGGCCATGTCAGTAAGATTATCCTCAGCAACAGCCTGTGTTTCACCCACTTTCCTTGAAAATCCCTTCCCCAAGGCACGTGAGGCAATGACAAACCCTTGCTCAGAGGAAGCCATGAATAAAAACAAGGCTTGCAGGAGACCATGCTAAGCTGGTTTTGGGCAGAAGCTGCACCTCCTTCCCTTCTGAGCACCAAACCCAGCACCCAGAGCAGCTGAGCCCTAGGAAAGCCTCCTTGCACAGAGCACAGCAGCCTCCCTTGTCACAAACTGCACGTGGAGGAGAGTTCCAAGACAGACACATCTGTGGTGAGCAGCAGCCAGCCCAGAGTGGAAAGCACACAGGCTGCACAGTAATTCCCTCTTGGCTCTGGATAGCTCAGACATGGATATTCACCAGCTGCCTTCACACAGGGCAAGAAGGAGTCTGTGCCCTCCTCAGCAAGGTGAGGGCTATGTCTCCAGCCAAAATTCATCACTGTGCCCAAATCAGCAGAGCTTCAGGCCTCCCAGGGCAGAGGAGACAAGCAGGAGCCAGAGAGGTTTGGCTTTCTCAATCCCCTGGACGTGGCCTGCTGTCCCAAGCAGGGATGCCTTGGGAAGAGGCATCCTCAGGGAGGCAGCTCCCAGGAATGCAGCGTGGCTGGATGCGGGGGTGGAAGCTGTGCTATCTCCTGGCCTTCACCACACTGCAGCTCTCCAGGGCCTCAAAGGGGAGCCCTACAGCTGCAGCCAGACCACACACTCAACCCCCCCAGAGCCAGGGAAGAGAACCATCTCTGGAGAGCTCTCCTCTCTTCAGTCACAATCTCCACAGCACAAAGATTATATGCTGACCTCTAACCCTGGAAGGAAACATGGTCATGGTCTTGTGATGGAAGCAAAGACGCAAAAACTGCTTTAGTGTTGATGATGGGCTCCCTCTGGTCTTGCCCATTTAGTTATTCAAGTCTTATATTCCAGCTAAAGGTTTTTCTTTTTGCTTTCCCTTCACCATCCCGACCCTGGGGAAAAGGTTCGCTCAGACACAGCAAAGGATGTGAAATTAGACCTCATGTTTCTTTTTTTAAAAGGTTGTCACAATTCAGGAACTCAATTCACCCAGCACAGGAAGATTATCATTCCTCAGTTTATCTCAGTCTTACCCAGTTGGCTGTAACAATTATTTTCCAGAAGCAATTTTCCAGCAATTCATTTTGAAATACACTTTCTAACATTCTAACATCCAGTGAAGAGAAACCTGACTCTTACTTGAAATTTAACTACCCTGGGAATTATGCAGCCTCTGGAAGGACCCTGATAGAATCAGACCAGGTTTTTGAAGGGGAAAAGAAAAAAATTCATGATGCAGAAGTAAAAGTTCCCCTGACAACAGTTTCAAGGGTGGTCATTTTATCCACAGTGTTTATTATATGTTCCATTAAGGTAAGACAAGACTTCCATATCCCTTTTTTTTTTTTTTGTAATCGTGGCTCCAGTTCCTGGATCCCTGTTTATGCACACAGCAAAGCAATCACCCTCAGCAAAGTGTGAGCACAGAGAAGTCACAATATTTTGAAAGATCACAATCAGGCAATGCAGTGTTTTAGCTCAGCTTTTCAGCCCCTGAATGCAGCTCCTAAATGTGTGAATCTGCTTGATACATGGCAGCTCACAATCACTCAAATCACTGGGGACCTTCCCTGCACATCTCCACGCTACCAAACAGATGCTCTTCATAATCATGTTAAAAAAAACCTGTATTCCTAATTCTCACACACATATTAAAATATATATAAAATCAGTATTGCAACAGACAAGACAGGATGGGGAGCGCTCTAAAAGCCAAATGATCAGCAACCCAAAGGGATCTGTTCTCCCCCCTTGATCTTGCACACAGAGGATGGCAGTGCCAGGAGATGGTGCAGCAGATGCCTCCAAAAGCACACTGGAGCACAGCACCACAGTCATGAAACGTGGCTGGGAGGTTTCCCCTTCTGCAAACGTAAGGATGTTTCTGCAAGTCACATTGTACTATCTCCTAGTGGCCAAAAAGTTGGCTCTGAGGCTAAGTTGGCAGGAAGTTGGCTCTTTGTAAGCCTGAAGTAGACTTTTCTTTTTTTTTTTTTTTGTAATGGAATGTCCATGAGGAGTTTCGATTACCTCAGGACAATCTGACTTTTCAGTCTCAGACCAGGACTGCAGCCTGTGACTCTCCAGAAACGAGTGACCAAGCTGGGCTTGACTCTGCCCTGTGCCACCATCAGCACACCACGACCTGCAGTGTCAGCCTTGGTGAGAGGGAAAGGAGAAGGAAGAATGCTGACCAAGCACAGCTTGGGACTGCTCACTGCTCCCACCTCTGATAAGTGATCCCCAGGCACCAGCTGTAGCACCAAACAGCCCCCAGGATCAGCCTAACACAGCAGAAAGAGCTCCCCATGATTCCCACACACCCTACAGACGCTGCCTGCCCTGGCATGGGGCAGCACAGAGGCTGCACCTCCATCTCCAGTGCCCCTGAGCTTACTGAAACACCCAACAGGAGCCAAGCATCAGCACCCTTTGGACCCCTGCAGATAAACACAGGGGCTGCAGGTAGAACCTC